ATTGACCCTGCAGCTAAGAGACAGAGGAAACCCCTGAAGGAGATCTCAATGTCCTTATGGAGAGGGACTCTCCCACCGAACAATAACTTTCTCCCTACCCATCTTCCTGTCCTCCACACCAGAAGTCACCTCAAGTAAGGGTTGTTTTATATTTTTATGGTTAAAAAAATACATGTGGTTCAAAACAGATTAACCTTATTTATATTGAATCTTATAGGAAAATTTGATTTGGTTCCAGATGAAAATCAGTTTGTGACTGCATTCATAGGGGTCAGAATGGATTAACTTTATTTACATTGAACCTTATGGGGAAGTTTGATTTGGTTTATGATCATTTAGGTTTATGACCAGAATCATGGAATGAATTAAGTTCATGAATGGAGGTAGCACTGTACCTAATGATCTCTTTGTTAAACAGGTAAGTGATGAATAAAAAAATGAATGAAAGCAATCAGAGTTCTCAAACTTACTCTCTTGTCTAAACTGAGGTTACAATATACTTCCTATAATGTTGTCCTATGTGGGCACAGTAGCTGCTGACCATACCAGAGGCATAGTTCTGAAATCAGAAGGGCCTCAGACATCCCTTGTCCTAACTTCATAGCATTAACCTCAGTTTTAAGTTTTAAAATATAAACATACACACACACACACACACACATTAATACTCATTTATCTGTTTAACACCTGTCTTCCCCAATATTCACAAAACAAAGACCTTGGATGCCCAGTGTCCACTACATTGTAAATACAGCTGGTTTTTATTCATGTATGTGTGCAATGAATGAATGTCAATGGCTAAAATCACAAGGTAAGGGATAACAGATAGTTATTTCTAATGAGAAAGCCTTCTCGTTCTACCATCTGCCTGGCCCTTGCTAAGATGGCTGTGGCTGCACGTGATATTGTACGCCTCTTAAGGATTCCAGCAAGGCTCCCATGAGATACTGGATGTCTAGAGCTCTCTGAGGCCCATCTGCTTACGTGCCTCTTGAAGACCTTTCTGTAGCTTCTGCCCCTTGCTGGACACCAGAAACTGTGGGGGCCCTGCACTTTCTCTGCCCTGTTTTGGAGAAAGAGCATAGGTCTTCTGCTCATATGCCTTCCTGCCCATTTTGGAGTTCTCTTTCTAGACTCTTGCGGGAATTGGGCTGTTGAACATCAACTACTTTCAAGGCCTAAATTTTGTACTTGCCTTCTGACTTCTGTGCCTTCCCCTGGTCTGCAGAATCTCTTACTTGGGGCAAGATAGACACTCATCTCCTGGTTAAGTGTTCCCCCAGATTATTATTATTTTTTTTTTTTAGATTTTCCTTTTCCTTTGAAAACTCAAAAGCCAGAGATTTGACTTACATTTTCCATAGTTACTCTCTTTTTCCCAAGGCAGTATCTGCTGATATTTGAATGGGGGGAAATGTGAAAGGATATACATAAGTTTTGGAGAAAATAACCCATAGTTAATCTCTCAAAAATACAACTGGCAAAAGGTGATCCAGTTTCAAGAGAATGACATTAGCTGTGGTTGTCCAAATTTTCAAAGTCATTCACCAAGTTTGTCATTTTACATCTGATTCTAGAAAGAAAGAAGCATGCCACTTGCGAGGGAGAACAGGAGGTCTGCAAAATGAGTGTCTCCAAGGATGCCTGTCCTGCTGCTGTTGTAAAGTTTCTCCCAAGCAATTGAGGCTCTGATAGAGTAAATATATGTCATGTTATTTAGGAGGGATGGCAGGCTGAGTCACTGAGTAACAAGCTCCCATGTTGTCTGTGGGTGATACGGATCTCATATTAAGTGATGGGCAGTGAGAGTTTCTTCTGTCATTCAGTGACACGATTTTAGGCAAGGAAGGTAAAATGTCTGCATCAGCTAGAGATGATTATAACAGATATCACCTGTCTTAATAGCCCTCACTTCATCTGCTAAGCTGTGGCAAATGACATTTTATGCTTTATCATCAGGCTGCCAGACAGGGCTCAGGTAACCACAGTGTATGTAAAATCTCATGCTCTATTGCACAATAGTTGGTGTTTGCAAGGGAAATATGTATCCTAAAGCTTTTTATAGCATTTGTTCCTTCACAGCAAGAGAATATTGCAAGTTTGTGTAAAGCTTTATATTGTCATGCTTAACCACTGTGACTTTTACAACTGCATGCTAGCTGGAGCCCAGAAAATACTGAGAAAACACTGTGAAGATATCATTAAGTGTTGCCTGCTGCTTTGTAATCTTCAGAAGTTACAGAAAGACATAGCTTCATATGTCACTTCAGATTCTTTTGGGTGTATTAACAATCTGAGGTGTCATTCTTAATAACAGGTCATTTTAACCAAATTCTTTAGTCTTTCTATGGAATATTTATCAGTCATGTATCTCTCTACTTCATTATCAAATAAGGAGCTAGCAGGGATTTTCAACACCTCACAAAACCAATATGAATGCACCTGTTTAGGGGAAGGGAACCAAATGTTTCAACTTCCTAAATTGTAGCCCTAGATAAAGACTCCTGTAAGTGGCAGCATGGATCCCACAGATTGTGAGTCTCCGATGCAGAGCCACTTTTTCTACCACAAGTGACTTGCTGTCTGTGGAAGCAGCTAGTGGTTGGCTTTTAGGGATGCGATGAATTCAGAATGGAAAGACAAGATAGGACATTTAAAATGAATAAGATATTAAAGAACTCAAATTTTAGGAAAACTACTTCTCAATAATGGTTACATTGAAATAGAAAGTTTTTAAAATTTTTGAGCATGGAAACATAACACAGGTTTTATTGGTCAGGGCAAAAAGCCATTACTCACCCAATAATAGATCAGTTTTCGTACTTATAATCTTGATTTCTAGGACAGATTTTCTAACTTAGAATTTTAATGAATTCCTTTTCCTTCCTTCCTTTCTTTTTAACTTTTCTTCTTTTCTTCCTCTCTCCTTTTCATCATGTATTCTCACTCAGAAATGGGATGGGGGAGAAACTACACAGTGTATACTAACCACAATCTCAAGGCTTCTAAGCTAAGAATCTGACACAAGAAGCATATTCTACCTATGGTCTTATCTGAGGAAATTACTGTTCTTCCACAGTCGAACAGCTAGAAGGAAAGGCTTGTTTGAATTAATGAAAAATTTACAATATAATCATGTTTTTAAGAATGGTAGGAACTCTCCTCCAATGCGATATTGCTGATATTTGATTTGGAAAAGAGGAAACAATTTTAAAATGAAATGACTTAAAACATCATTGTACATTTTCTCCAATATTTTAAATATATAGCATCATGTACTATCCTCTGGTTAAAGTTCCCTTCATCTTTTAAAATAAACCACACCTATAATATATTGATTACATTTCCAGATTTATCTTTGATAGTGTGGAATGAGAATTTAGCAATATGAATTCAGAACACTAGAATTTTATATGTTTAGCCAACGTTTTAGGACTGTTTGATAAATTACTTGACAATTATTTTTGCAAGTTGTCATGTTTGCTTTTTGGTAAGCACTTGACTTTATTTTCCAAACAAAGATAACTGATACTTGTCCTTCATGAGTTTATATCATATGTAATTCATAAATTTATAATCATGAGCACAACTAGCACACACAGACCTGAGTATAAACCCAGTGATTTTGGTGAGCACAAATCTCAGTTGGAAGGGCAAAAGTTGTTGGGCATGCTGAGATCCTACTTGCCATGGGCACTTCCTATGGGAAGGGCAGTTGTAAGCATCTGTTAGACAAGCCTGGAGAACAATGGCTAGTCTGAGAGTAGGTTAACAGACCTTTAATTAAGAAAGTTCTTACTATAAATACATCTTAATTAATATGCATAGATAGTAACTCTTAAAGAACATTTTTTTTGCCAAGTGTTTTCTAGCTCAGGACTTGCAGAACTTGCCTTAATGAACAACCAAGGCTCACTTATAATCAGCAGAATCTGTCTGCACACATAATTGGTGTTCTAAAGTGCTTTCCTCCAGCAATCTAGTTTACACTGTGGTACTGTAATTGGTTTGTTTATCAGACTGTTCTTTTTTTCTTAGATGGAAAATGATAATGTTTTGCTCCACTCCTCACTGAGCTCTCACAATTTTTAAATTAACGATTTGGAGATTTAATGAACTCTTCTGTTTATAGATGACAGAGATCCTAAATACCTCTATCAATGTTTTCAGTTAAAATTTCTTTTTCTTGGGCCAGGGATTTAGCTCAGTGGTTCCGGTGCCTACCTCACAAGCACAAGGTCCTGAGTTCTATCCCCGGTACCAAAAAAAAAAAAATTCTTTTTCTTAAACATTGCTAGTAATAAAGCATGATATTGCAATGACAGTTTAAAGAAGAAAATAAACAGGTATTCTTCCTACTAATATTAAATCAATAGATTTGGAAAATTTTAGACCCAAGAGAGTGGGAGAAGAGTGTGTGTGTGTGTGTGTGTGTGTGTCTCTGTGTGTGTGTTTACACATGAAGTCAGACACATAAAGAGGCAAAGAGAGAGAGACAAAGAGAGAGATGATAGGCAAAAAAAATAAGACATACAGCGACAGTTTCAGATTTTATATACATATATGTATATAGAGAGATTTTATGCATGTGTGTGTTTACACAGAGAGAGAGGAGAGAGAGAGAGGACAAAGAAATAGAAAATAAGAGATAAAAAGAGGAAAGCACTTCAGAAATGGAATATACAGAAAAAAACAACCAGACATCATGAGAGAGAGAACATTTAGTGAGAAAGAAGTTGAGCCACCCGAGCAATATTGCTCAGTTAGCTTCATATCTGCCCTCTACAAAGCTGTAGAATGTACATGTGTGGGACCAAAAGGCCTTGAAGAGCCCACATCACTGAACAGGACAAGGAAGCAGCCCAGGGCCAAAGAGCAGGCACAAGACAGTATGAGTAGATCTCATCCTGGTTATTAATCTGGTGGCTCTGCACCACTTGCTTCATGTGTATTAAATGTGGTTTTCAACTCTGAATATATTTAAAATCTTTTGGCTACAGAAAGGTACTGAAGGAAATCTCTGTTGGAGGACTAAATCCAAATGAAACTGTACAGGCCAACTTAGAAGCCCAGCTCCTATCCAAGCTGGACCATCCAGCCATTGTCAAGTTCTATGCAAGCTTTGTGGAGCAAGATAATTTCTGCATTATCACAGAGTACTGTGAGGTAAGACTCCTTTTTTCTCTTGGAAATCTTAGTAAAGGTCTGTTGTGGGGTGATGCACATTTGTAATCTCAGCTACTCTGAAGTCTGAGGCAAAGAAGATTAAAAGTTCAAGTCCATTTCTCATAATTATTCCTTTCCTTTCCCCTACCCCTCCCACTTCCCCTTCCCCCTTGTACCTTTTCTTCCTATTTCCCATTATTATACCTTTTGATCCTTATTTACACTCAGTTTCTCACACTTGAGAAACTATTTGGTATTTACACATGTGTGTCCTATTTATTTCACTTAAGAGTATGGCCTCAATGTGCATCCATTTAGCTATAAATATCTCTAGTTTCTCATTCTTTATGGCTGAGTAGTACTCCATTTTATTAAAAAAACCACATTTTCTTTATCCAGTCTGCATCCAATTAAATTAATGAATGAAAAAAAAGTTCAAGTCCCAGCATGGGCAACTTAGTGTGACTCTGTCTCAAAATAAAATAAAAAGGTCTGAGGATTTAGCTCAGTGGTACAGCAGCTGCCTAGCATGTGCCAGGCTCAGGGTTCAATCCCCAACACAACAAAAACAAACAAAAATAAAAAATCTGTTGCATAGTAAAAAGGTTTATATAAGAAAACATCTGAAAAGTTTAAATACCAAACCACAAGTTGAACTATAAAGACCTGAGGCTGCATATCTTGCAGCTAGGAATGGTCATCTCTATGTAACTGACAAAACTCATTCCTAATAAGTTTCTCCCTTTGGCAAAGTCAGTCAGACTGAATATATTTTAAGGAGGAATTTCTACATAAGAATGCCCAACCCCCCTGCAAATGTTCAATGATTAATGGACATTTAAATACCCTAATGGAGGGTACACAGAGCAGAGGTATATTGCCTGAGTTTTGGATTCTATGACTTATTTTCTCAACGGAAATTTGAAAATAAAAATGTTGCTTGTTTTCTTTACTGAAACTCTTTATATTTACTGATTTGTTATTTATGGCTCCAAGTATTTGCAGTTTTCTCTCCTACTCTCTGTTCTCTTCAAGTAAGAGCTTTGTATTTTACTGAACTCCACTTGACCATGAAGCTGCTTGGAAAGGTGCAAGAGAGGAAAACTGACAATGCAGAGTTGTAGAATAGCTCTGTGTATTTACTCTTGAGAGAGTAGGTAGAGGGAGAAAAAAGGGGTGAGGTCAGGCAAAGAATACCTGAAGATGGCTTGCTCAGAAAATGTCTCCTAGAACATTCTGGGAAGCTGGTTACCCAAATGCTTCATGGGAGAATTTGGAACTATTTAGAATAAGTGAAGTCATTTTATCACTTGGGTCTTTCTAGGACTCTAAAGAAATAACATTAGAAAGAAGTCATTCTTTAAGATAGAATGAGGCTTGTTTGGGTTAGAAACTTTGAAATCTAGATACAACTCAAGGATCCTGTATGTTTGAGAGGCAGGAAAGAAGAGGCAGAAGAGGCAAGAGGAGAAAAAAGAAACTCAGAAGGAGTACAGATAGCACCAAATCTGATTTTGCTTGCCTTATACATTAGCTGTGTATCATCCAACATGAAACCAATAGCTAAATTTATCTGAATGAGTTTGAAATATTTCAAATCTTGACAATTCCCCTTTAGATCAGCCTACTCAGCTCAGTCTTGCTGTGTGTTTCTTTATCCAGATCTTGCCTCTGCTTGGAGGAAAGCAGGAGGGGGGAGGGGGATCCAGGTCACTTGAATATCCACCTTTCCTTTATCCAGTGGATTGTTGAGAAAATTAATAAAATGATGAGGTGTGGAGAGTGGTGATATTGAACAATTTCTCTGGCAATTATTTCGCTAGTCCATGCAAAACTACAGATATTTGCATATATAGTTATAATATGATGCCCTTGCTATAATTTAATCATTTTTTCTTCTTTAGTTCCTTCAGTTAATAAACTCAGAAATAATGGGCCCCTACTGCTTATGACTACTGCTACCTCTACTGTTGCTTTGGCATATCAACATTTTCAGATTTTATCCTGATCTTAAAATATTAAACTATAGTTAGTTTTGTTCAATAGACTTTTCTGTGATGATGGAAATGGTGTATACCTGTGTTTTCTGATTCAGTAATGGCTAGTTACACATGGTTTTTTAGCCCTGGAAGTTTAGTTAGTACAACTGCAGAGCTGGATGTTAAATTTTGTTTAATATTAATTAATGTAAATTTGGATAACCTTGTATAGCTAGTGGCTACCATATTGGACAAGTCTAGATGATATACTATAACTTTTTATTTCCCTATATTAATTTTTACATCTTTTATTTTAATATAATTTAAAACTACCAGACAGGTTATAAGAATAGCAATGAACTCCCAGGTATCCTTCATCCAGAGTCCCTGGTCCAATTGTTATATTTTTCCATATTCACTTTATTATTCTATTTATCTTATCTCATCTTACTGCTTCTCCTACATACCTACCTACCTACCTACCTAATTTTTACCTGAGTCATTCAAGAATCATTTTGTAATAGTTTAGATCTTGAATATCCACCCACAGGTTGCCAGCCTGTGAAGCTACAGGGAAGAGGTAGAACCCTTGGGAGGCAAGACCTAGTGTGAGGAAGTTAGGCCATTTGGATGCAGGTCTCCTCCCCTTTTTCTTTGCTTTTCAGCTTTACCATGTGCTCCTAGCCATGACAATCTACCTTGCTGTAGTCTCAAAAGCAATGGAGGCAGTTAATCATGGACTGAAATCTCTGAAACTTCAAGACAAAATAAGGTTTTATCCTTCCAAGTTGATTTTCCCAGGCATTTTGGCACTGCAGTGGAAAGCTGACTATCACAAAGTTGTAGACATGCTGCCCCTTTGTCTCAAAATACCACTGCTTTTTCTAAGGCCAAGGACTTTCTCTTAATACAACCACAGTATAATGATAAAAACTCAGGAGATTAACACTTACATAATGTAAGTATGTGATCTGGTGGTTTTGAAAGTGAGGCCCCAGTCTAGTATCATCAACATCACTTCGGAACTTGCAAGAAATACAAAATTCTTGGCTTCCAGCCCAGCCATACCAAATCAGAAATTCTGGGGGTGATGTTCAGCTATATGCATTTTGTTAAGCCTATTTGGTGAGTCAGAAACAAGATGGAGTTAGAGAATCATTCATCTAATTCACAATCTATATTCAAATTCAGCCTCTGGGTCTCATTACATCCTTAGAAGGGACATTTCTATGAAAATGTTTTTTATTGCACAGGACCCAGTCCAGGGTCAGTTGCATTAATTTTTAAATGGTGCCAGTTTCCGTGGACTGAATTTCTCTCCTGGGAGGGGACATTGCCATGGTGATGACTGTGAGGCTGCATGGGAGGGCAGCTGAGGGACTGCCAGTGCCCTTTGGACCACCACCAGTCTGTTATACTGTGGCTACTTCCCAGTTCCTGAGGAAGGAGGTGTGCAGGTTGCTCTGTTCTTATTAACAGAGATATTTCTTTTCTTCAACACAAATTTACTCTTAACTCACACAAAGCTCACATTATTATCTTCTTTTTACTGAGGTAAAATAGTAATACAGGAAATGGCAGTTGAAGTGGCTGATCTCTTTATCACCAAGATCCCTCTTTTTAATTGGACCTTTCAAGACTGCAATATAGGCAGTGTGGTGGCGCACACCTGAAATCCCAGCACCCAAGAGACTGAGGCAAGAGGATCTTCATAAGTTTGAGGCTAGCCTGGACTACATAGTGAGTTCAATGCCAGCTTGGAAAACACAGTGAGGCCCTCCCTCAAAAGAAAAAAAACAGATATATACAAATGCAGTCATGAGTCCTTGATATCTACTACCCAACTCTCTGGACACATCACCTCAGATCATTTGTATAAGAAAGCAAACAACTGAACTCTCACAACTCATCAAAATTTAATCAAATCATCGGGTTATGGTTCCAAAACTACAGAAGTGGCAGAATATTTCAAATACTGATGTCTTTTCTTCTCTTCCATGCTGGGAAGAAATGGAAATACTGTCTCTTGTCCCTTCTTCATACTTGTCCACTCTTCATCATTGCTTAGCCATTTTCTTTCCCATTGCCCTTCCTCTTGGCTCTACATCTTCAAATCCCATCCAGCTTCCTAGGTCCAGTTCAAATGCATTAATCAAAGCTCTCATAATCTCCTGGGTAAAATCACTCCTCACCCCACAACCTCAACTTTCATAGCATTTTTATCTTGCATGGTACTCAACACAGCATGTATCATATAAACCATCTCACACTCTCAACATATGGGATTGATCTTTTCCTGATTCATTTGCCTGTCACATCATGGGCCCACACAGTAAACCACAAAGAAGTTAGCACTCATGACATTTCTTTCTTTTCATTTTTTACCATTTGTTTCTGTTGCCTCCACCTCATTTGTGTCAAACATTAATAATAAAAGATAAAATATTGGATCCTTCTAGCATGTGTCAAAAGTCTTCTGTGTTACTGTATTTTGCTATACATCTAACAATGTACTGTGCTAGAGGCCCGTGAAATACTATATGAGGGCCTTCTGTCTTGGTGAGGATGAGGCATCCCCAGAATCCTGGGCACTATGGTGGAAGACACAGAAGATTAGGTGAGATCACATCTTCAGCAGAGATGGAGTAATAGTGGAGATAGCATAAGAAATCAGGGCAAAAAGGAGTAAAGATTGGACTTGTTTGTGTCCTGCTTGGAGATATTAACATAACTAAACAAAAACCATATCAATAGAATAGTAGATCTGAGCCTTGACTGCACAGTAAAATCATCTGCAGAGCTTTCAAAAGTCTTTAGGTCTAGGGCCCACCTCCAGAAAATCTGATTTAATTGCTCTAAGGTATGGCTTAGACAACAGGACTTTTGAACCTCTCCTAGTGACTAACATGCAGCCAGAGAACTACAAAACAGAGAGAATGGATAGTGTGGAAACAGACATAGAGTCATAAAGGTAAAGCAAAGATGAGGCCCAAACCCGAGAGCGGAAAAGTCTGGCAAGAT